GTTTTCTGCCAAATTTCTAAATTTGTTGGGCTAGGTTGACGACTATGCCAGGAGACAGTGTAGGAACAACTAGTGAGATAATGTTCAGGCGAACCTTGTTGGCCGCAGGTGCAAAGATCAGTATCTGTTATATGCAGGTAATTAAAGAATGTTGGGAATGGTCCATGACCCGTCAAGAACCAGATGACTTGTTTTGGAGGAATTGTTTTAAAAAAAGTAACATTGTTAATAATTTTGAATAGACGTCTGCCTCTGTCTGAATTATTCCATTGAAATTGCCATTTTGTTAGAAGAGAATCTTTAATACGTCGTTTAAGATATGAAACTGGAAGTGGGTATACATAATTTTTCGGTTGTCTCGTAGATTGTTTAGCTAAATCATCTGCTTTTTCATTACCTACTCTATTGCTGTGTGCTTTAATCCAGGAAATTTGAATTGATGTGTGTTGTAGTTCTTGTTGAATATCAAAAGAAATTCTATTACTTGTGCCAAAATCAAGTATTGATGATATTGATGATTTTGAGTCTGACCAGATTACATAAATATCGTTATTATTGAAGTTTTCAGTGCTCTTAATATATTTAATGCATTCAAGATTGCCAACTGTTCGGCTTGAAAGACTGAAATTTCCTTGTCTAATGTGTAGCTTTGTGAATGTGTAATATTGAGGAAAGCGAAAGCTGTGCCTGTGTTTGTCTTCGAGCCATCTGTAAAATAGTTTGTTTTTCTGTTAAAATCAAAATTATTCTGTTCTACTAAAGTTATTTTGTTAATTGTGTGAAAAGAATTATGGCGATGTGGTATTTTTAGCTTTTTCTCATAGTCTAGTGTATTATACGTTATATTATTAAAATTGGCATCTTTTTGGAGGTGAGTTACGGTTGTTGAACAAGATATTGACATAATCTGTTCTGCGAGAGGAGGAATATTTGTTAGTACTTGAAGTGCTGCCGTTGGGGTAGAATAATATGCTCTACTCATGTTTAAAAGAAATTTTCTTTGAATAGATTGTAAAGAGCGATAAATACGTGGAGAGATATTCGTAGCCCATAGGCTGCAACCATGAGCTAATGCGGGAATTATTACTGTATTGTATATTAATTTTCTCGCTTTTTGGTTGATACCCCATGATTTTTGGTTGATTTTTTGAAGCGAATTTAATAATATTTTAGATTTTTGTTTTAAAAGATTAATGTGAGAACCCCAGTTTAATTTTTTATCAATGACTACTCCTAGATATTTAAAATGGTTAGAATGTTTAATTTTAATATTATTGATTTTAAATATTGCACTGCGATCTGTGTTATAAAAGTGGATGTAAACTGTTTTTTCTATAGAGAGATTTAGAGCATTTTGAATAATTCATGCGTGAATTTCATTAAGGGAATTATTAGTAATCTCTTCCAAATTTCTCCTTGAGTTGGCAAAAGTCAGTATAATCAGATCGTCTGCAAAAGCTTGGATCATATAATTTTCGGAATGTATGTTAAGCAAACTATTGATAGTAAGATTCCATGCTGTAGGACCAATACATGACCCCTGGGGACAACCTTTTGAAATGTTTTTAGTTACGTAACCTTGATCTGTTGAAACAATTGCTTGTCTATTTGTGTTTATACTTTCTATGAAAAGGCAAAGATTAGAGGGAATATGATGTTTTGACAACTCATTATTAATTATACTATATTGAATGTTGTCAAAAGCACTTTTAATATCTAAAGATATAGCTGCAACTTGTTTGTAATTATTTTTTAGGTGTGTTAAGTTATCATTAAAATTATCCAAAGCTAAATGAACTGACTTGCCGAATCTGAAACCGTATTGAAAATCTGAAAGGGCGTTTACATTTTCCAAATGAAAATTTAGTCCTTTAATAATAAGTTTTTCCAGAAATTTACCCAAGCAAGGTAGAAGGGTGATTGGGCGATAAGATGTTAAATGTTTTGTATCTTTGCCCTTTTTTAGAAAAAGTAAAACCTGACCTTTCTTAAAATGATCTGGGAAATAATTTAGAGCAAGACATTTGTTGAAAAATTTAAGTATTAAAGTACTGAAAAATGAGAATAAAATTTTAACTACAATGTAATCTATTCCATCGATGCCGGGTGCTTTTTTGCTGTTAAGAGACTTAATTAGGCGTTGTAACTCATTGTGTGTGAATGGGGGATCCGGTGTGTTATTACTTTAAATTAGTGGACGTGTAGGAATAATATTATCGTCAGGATAAAGATTTTTGAGAATGCTGTTTGCTTCGTCAAGTTGAGAATTGTTGTTGTATATATTTGTGAGTATTGTTGGATATGAATTTGTTCTGAAGGAGGATTTATAATGGGCACCGTAAATATTCTTAGTGTTTTCGCAAAGAATCTGCCAACTTTTATATTTAGCTTGTATAATATGTTTTTTATATTCTGCTCTTTTTTTCTTATAAATTGTTTTATATTTATTAATAACCTCTATATCATTTGATCTTTGGAAGCGTCTTTTAATTGCTTGAAGTTCTTTTTTGTAAATTGTTAACTGTGCTGTCCACCAAGTGGCATTTGTTGGACGATGAGAAAGTTTAGTTTTGTAAGTTTGTTGACAACTTATAAAAATTTTATTAATTAAGTTATTCGTAAAACTGTTTAGGTCTGAATGATTTTGTATTGTATTTAAATCATCTATTAGGTCTAGGTTAAAAGTTGAAAAAACTTTTCTGAACTTATTGTGATTTCCGTATTTCGTTTTGAATCGCGTGAATGAGGAAAAAGAGTATGTGTTATTTGCTGGATTAATATGTACTTATGGTCAGAATTACTGTTTATATCCATTACATTCCATGTTGTGGATGTTAAAACATCTGGATTATTTGTTAAAGTAAGATCAGGAAATGATGAAGTTAAGGAGGTTACAAATGTCGGTGTCGCTGGCTGGGTATTAAGAATTTTCAAATCATTAGATGTTATGAAATCTAGTAAAGCATCGCCCCTGGCATCACTGTTGTTATATCCCCAGAAGTCATGATGAGCATTAAAATCCCCACAAATTAAAGTAGGTGAATTATAAAAATTTTTGTTGCTGTAATAGATTAAATCCCTCATTAAATTTATTTCGTTATCACTTGGAGAGTCATAAAAAGAGATTAAAATTAATGGAGAATTATTTGATGAATTTATCGAAATCAAAACTGAATTTTGTAGGATATCTAACTGCAGAGGAGTTACTGTTTTATTTTGTATGAATATACCGCTTTTATCATCTGCCGACAGGAAAAGTTTCCAAAAGCTTGGGTATCCTATTATTGTTCCTTTAGGAGAATATGGTTCTTGAAAACAAACTATATCGATCCCGTGCTCAACAACCGTTTTTTGCAATAAAAAGATAGCTGCTTTGCACCTTTGAAGATTAATTTGTAGAATGTTAAGTCCGTCAAGATTTGTTGATATAGTATACTGTTTTATATCATTATTAAATTGGTTAAGCATGACTAAATGAAATTAATTTGAAATGCTTAGAAACTAAAGTTTAAACAATAATGAAAAATGCTTTAAAAATTTAAAAATAAATAAAATGAGGAAAAGTAAGAAATGGAAAGAAAAAAACAATATGGAATGTAAAAAGAAATGAATAAAATAAATTAATAAAGAAAGAGAAAAAAAATGGCGTTGAAAAAAAACTAATAGAGTAAAAAGTATTACTAGATATAGAGAAATGTTAATAAGCAAATATATATGTCTTTTTAGTAGGGATTTGTATAGACTTGATTGGATTGACGTAGCTCTTTTAGTTCATGCAGGTAAGTTTACCCAATTGTGACTGGGTGGAGTGAGTCATGCTGATTTATTTTTGGCTTTAGAATTGGAGAAGAGCACTGAGGAGGTAAGAGACACTGGAGGCGCAGTGGCCTCTGCTGCACCTGCCTTGGCTAGAATATATGTCATTTCATTGCCTGATATATCTACGTGTGAGGGTATCCATTGTACATGAATTCGACAATATTTGGAGAGGTGCAAAAGTTTATAAAGAATGTTCGTGCTAGCATTGCCCCTCACTCTGTACCAGCTAGCCAAGTGCTGAACAGCGCTCTGCTAAAACTAAATGAATTTAGCGAAGTTTAAAGTTCTTTCAATTTAACCTTCGCTAAATTCATTTAGTTCGCTAAATTCATTCATTCAAATGCATTATATTATAAACACTGAAGTCCCGCAGTATCGTAAAGACACGGTTCCCAGTAGAACGCAGTGGTCAAGTATCACTGGTTACAGTCAGTTAGCGGGTAGGTAACCACTTAGATCAGTATACTTAAGGACCGAGAGTGTGCGGTATCGGTCCTCGTTAAACTGTTCTACAGTAAAGTGCTCTATTTCGCGAGCAGATCGTCGGGCTGTCAAATCAAGGGAGCCATCCCCTCTGCAAAGAATCAAAATTGCGATGGCATGTCTTCGAATCATCCTCAGCGATGTTTCTCAGACCATCGCCAATAGCCCATTGTGCAGCTCTAGCGCGACGTAAATAAAGTACCTACCTACTAAAAGTTTATTAATATTGGATGGCGTACTTTTAAAAAGCAAAAATAAATAAATCAGAAGTATAGTTCGACTTCCTAGAGAACTCCTCCAGACACCCGTCTCGCGTCGTGGCGGGTACTATGTTTACGAGGAAAGGTCACTTCGAATAGGGGTGTGGGGTGAATAGTTTTATCTTAATCTTAGCGTAATTCATCGTGAGTAAACCAATTGACACCTTCTTTCCTCCATCCCCCCATTAGAAATGTGCTCTCACTTGTTACCATAGCACCAGAGATTGCCCCAGACTTTCAGTCTGGAGGAGTTCTCCTCAAAGCCGCACTGTAGTAACGCAAAAGTCAGACAATATCAACCCCTTTGCCACCTCGGTTTAGTTTTATCCGGTCATCCATCCATTCGTAGTATCATATTGTTGACAAAAAAAATAATTTTTTTTATCATTACTTCTTTGGAGGTATTTAATCACTTTTTATCGCTGATAAGCAATCGATTTTCATCGATAATTATAATCCATATATTTAATCGATATGGGCCATGTGATTATCCGTCTGTCGCTCAGGTTTTATTTGTTTGTTTTCATTCGATTATGAAGTCATACGCCTTAGGACCGCTCAGTTCAACTTATTCTGCCATATTTTAATTAATTAAGACAATACTACTGAAATATTATGAAGAAAATATTAAATCATTTTATTCTTAACGTGTAAATAGTTGTTTTTTGCACTTTTTTTCTCCATCTAACTTAGTTAATTTATTTGGAATGCTGTTTGAAATGGGTCAGCTCATCTTAAATCAAAATATGTGCTATTTCACACTATGAATTGGCAAACTCTGGAAAAACAAGTACAAAATTTCTATACTATCTACTAAGTTCTCTTATTATCAGAGAGCTTTACTCCCATTCTTTTAAACTTGGTGAGATATTGAAAACTGCGTTAATTTTTTATATAAATCGCATCTTTTTTTCAAATAATTTCTTTGCTTTTGTTTATGCTTATTATTTTCAAGTAATTTCTTTGCTCTTATTTTCTCCTTTGTACAAAAATTTCCTTATGTGCTAGTGTATTGTGGGAAAATTATAATATAATAATAAAAGTATATTATAAAATAAAAGTATATATTTAAAGATACTTTTAATTTTATAATATAGCTTTTCTCTTGCTGCAGTACTGTTGGTTAGTGAATGTATGTTAGTTATTCACTATATTATTATTTATAAATATGCTGTGAAATAAAATTGGTAAGTTATGTCATTGATAAGTTATTATTTGGTTTAGTTATGTCTTAGTATTTATTTCTTTTGATATTTTAAAAATTCTATTTATATGCTATCATTTCGAAATAATTAATTGTTAAAAGAAACTAAAATAATTAAATTTGAGTGCAGTCAAACTAATAAAAATTTTGTTCAAGGTATAAATTAGCAATCGGGTGCAACTCTAATTTGGCAATTTTTTATATTCTTACAGAAAATTAGGAAAATTATTTAAAAGTGAGATTTTGTAATGATAAATAATCAAGATTTGTGGATTTTTATGCAGTGTCAAGAATAATAAGCAATTTTTAAAATGAATATTTTTAAAAATTATAATGTTTTTGTTTAAAATAAAAACCAATATTTAGATTTTAATGTATTTTAAATAATGCATTCATTAATTGTAGCTTTAAAATTATGTTCTAATAATTATTTATTTTAAAAAATTATCTCATTATGACAATCGCGAGAAAAGTTTCTAAAATTACAACTGAAAGATGCTTTCATAAAATGGGTCATTTCATCACTCAAATGCAGGAACCAAAATTCAAAAAGGATATTTTTTGCAAATTATGGTTGTTGTTTAAAGAAAGTGTTTAAAAAATTTTTTTTTTGATATAAATTAAGAATAACCCAGTTTCATGAGTAAAATTTTCAGACCCCTGAATTCATTAAATCCAACTGCAATGAGAAATATTTGACAATGTGGCTTCACTCAAAATATAATAGTGATTTCTTCAAAACAAGAAAAAGCTCACTAGTTCTTGAAAGTAATCACCATCAAAATGAGAACATTTAAAAAAAAAAAAAAAAAAAAACTTTTTTAATCTGATCTTAATGTATTTTAATGACATTAGTTTATTATCATTTACTATCATTTAACTGTTAATTATCAAGTAAAATAACTTGTGTTATCCATGCCATGATTATAATATGTCCCATGCAGTTATGTCCATGATTATAATATGTCCATGCCCAAGTAAAATAACTTGTGTAGCCATGCCATGCATGTCTTAACATTTCAAACCCTCAAAATTCTCAAAAACAGAGGTTTGTCTTATACATCAGTAATAAAGTTAGACATTTGTTGATCTTGAAATATCAATGCATCATAAACTCAAGAGTTAACCTTTATATGAATAACTGCATAAATTTACCTTTAAAACTTATCAGTTTGAAAAACTATTTTTAATATGTTATATCTATGCTATTAATTTTACATTTTCTCATTTTTTTTACGTAAAAGGTTGTTTTTTTTTAGAAACAATATTTTAATTTACATTTAAAAAATTAAGAATAAGTAAAGCTAATTTATTCAAAAATATTTTAAAATATATAACACGAGGCAAACTTTTAAAACGATACTATAAAGCTAAAAATTTGAAGATTTCAGAACATTTTGTCAGATTTATTAATCTTAGTGTTGTCATACAAACCCAATTCTACAATGAATTCTATTTCATCCTTATCTGTTGAGTCCCACAAAAAAATCATCTCCCCCCCCATCCAAAGAATTAAAAATTTCACATATTTTAAAATAATTTGCAATAGCATTTGAATTCACAATTTGTCACGCGTCTTGCATCGTTTAACGCATGACCTTGATAGGAATAATGATAGACTTGTACACACCCGACATACCAGAAATTCGCTATTTCGGAATCAAAAAGAGGTTGACTTATACAATGAGCAGGGTGCATAGCGTTTTTAAAAAGTGCTTAAAGGTGCTTATTTTTATTCGGGGTTTGTAAAAAGTGCTTAATTTTCTATCTCTTAAAAAGAAATTTTTTTGCCGTGTTGATTGTCGTTCTGAATTACAGAAAATGCATGATTTTCCATGCAATGTTTATCAGAAAGGTAATTATTTTAATTAGTATGTAAAGTTTTTGAAAATGATTTTATGTTTGTAAAATAAGAACTTCAAAAGATAGAAAAAAATAATTTTTATCACTGTAATTTTTTTTCGAAAGTGATTAAAAATGTTTTTTGAGTGCTTGAGAAGTATTTAATAGGTACTTATTTATTGTTGAAAAATCTGGCTTCCCTGACTGAGACATGCAGTTGTCTTGATTACAAAATGTAAAGTAAAAATTGTTTAAAAGCTCTAATTATACCTATTTATTTTTGCATTTAAAAAATATCTAAAGTTAGCGAATTTATTTATTTTAGGTTACCCTTGTTTAAAAATGGATGTAGCATCCATTTCTTTCTCTGGCTCTCGTCAGCCTGTCAAGCATGTTATACCTCTTGGAAGGCGACTAGCTTACAGTTGTGGCCATGTTTTAAATGATCTATGTGCTTCCATGTGGTTTTCTTATCTGCTTATATTTGAACATTCTGTTTTGAACCTGAGTAATTTTGTTGCTGGATCTCTGATGCTTCTTGGGCAGATTGCTGATGGTATATCCACCCCATTTGTTGGATTTGAATCTGATCAACCCAATGATATGTTCCTATGTAGGAAATACGGCAGAAGGAAAGCTTGGCATTTAGTTGGTATGAGCGATTATATTAATTATTTTTTTTTATGTAGCTTCAGGGTGCGTAGCATTTGTAAAAAGTACTTAAAGGTGCTTCTTTGGGGATTTCGTTTTTAAAAGCTTTTAAAGGTGCTTTTTTCAGCTGGCGTTTTTAAAAAGTGCTTTTTTTCTTCCCTTCAGTGATATCTGGTGGTTCTTTTTAATTTATTTTAATTTTATTCTTATTTATTTTATTTTACTTCTAACACTTTTTTTGACGTAGGGGGTAAGGGTACTTTTGTTCTGAGTTCAGGGTCAAGTTGAATTCACTCGGTGATGTGGGAAAGTACTGATTGTTTCGATTTATGCCCGTTTCTTTTTGGGTTTTTTTTAACGCTAAAACTTTTTATAAAAAGTTTTTGTTTTTCACTAATGTCATTGATTGAATATGAATTTTTTGAGTGCTTGAAAATTTTTTAAAAGTGCTTATTTTTGATTCAAAGATTTGGCTACGCTCCCTGAGCTTATCAATTTTATCCTGCAAGTAAAACTTTGAAAGTATGGGTTTTTATAGTTTTAGAAATGTCATTTCAGCCAACTTAGAATGAATTTCTCAAAGGATAATAAAAGGAAATTTAAATTACAATTGTTAGCAGAAATACTTTTAGATTTTGCCAGAGTTTAAAGACATCACTGTATGCTTATCAAGCATTTATATGAATGTTTAATTTATTTATAAGTGGTTACTGGGTCGACAGCAGTGGACTGGGTCCACTGTTGTCGACCCAGTCTTGGTGCTGCGGTCTGACATCACCGCTCGCTCTCGTTGCATCCCTCACGGGAACTTTGAAGTCCTCCTTTGCATCCGACACGATTTGTGGTGCTTTAGTCTTGCGTGACTCCGGGCCTTGTGCCTTTAGGTCCTCTTTCTGCCTGGCCTTAAGTGCTTTGTAGGTTTCGTAATGGCGGGGCATCAGTCAATTGGCGTATGGGCAATAATTGCCTGCGTCGCAACAACAATTTCCTTATTCATAAGTGGTGAAGGTCAAAATAATACATTTACAAATCCAAGACTAAAGTAGTTATTTTGCTATCACTTAAATTATAAAATTGAAAACTTCACTGCTATGAAATACTGTCACCAATATATATCTTCTACCAGAGTCAGTAAGACTAACTAAAGTTCATAATAAAATCAATAAGAAATTTAAAAGCTTTATTTTTTAACTTTATAAAGAGAGAAATAATTTTATTTGCTAAGGACTTATGATGCATTCCTTTTGAAAGATAAGGAATTAAAAGTTTATCATAAAAGATCATGTGTAGAAGGTCATGTTATAAGTCTAAAAAAGAAACTAATTTTCTTATTTTTAGTCCATTAAAAAAACTTAGTTTCTAAAAATTTAGTTTTGTGTTTTTGTTGGATTATGATCAAAAGTTTTATTCTCAATGAACTTTGTTTGTTCAGTTTAAACAATTGTAACTTGTATTGGCTTGATATACAGAGCTCCAGTTTAAATGTGGACATTATATAGTCTAAAAGTGGTCAAAATTTTAATTAATGATAAATTCTATTTGGTGATAAAATTGTATTGTAAATTTTGCTTACAGCATCTAAGAAACAATTGCTGTTATAACCCAGCTCAGAGCTTCACTTGAAATATCAAATAATTTGCAAAATCATTTTATCATGTTATAGTTTATTATTACAACTATTTTTATCAATGCAATTCAAAATTTTCACTAATATTTGTTTCCTAAATGCAACTGGGCTTATAGTTTTTTATTGAATGATTTTACTTGGAAAATAGTTCCTACATTATCAAAATCATGTGTTTTATAGAAGTTTCATAACCATGTGATTGCTTTGACTTGATCAGTAAATCAATGTTTTTACTTTTTCATTTATTTTGTCTTTTTTAAATACTATACTTTAAAAAAAAAAATTATATTTTCATAGCTGTTTTTCTGATTAGCAATAATTATATATAGATCANTCAAAATTATGTGTTTTATAGAAGTTTCATAACCATGTGATTGCTTTGACTTGATCAGTAAATCAATGTTTTTACTTTTTCATTTATTTTGTCTTTTTTAAATACTATACTTTAAAAAAAAATAATAATTATATTTTCATAGCTGTTTTTCTGATTAGCAATAATAATATATAGATCATCTTTTATTAAAATAACTTTTATATAGTTATTGCCTTAAAATTTAAATGTTAGATGTCAACTTTTATTCCTTAACTAATAAATTATTTTAAAACAATAAAAGTTCATGGTAGCAATTATTATGTATGTATTTTGTTTGATTTGAAAGTTTTATGAAGTATATCTTAATTATATCCAAATTTATAATTTATTGTTCAAGTTATAAATTTTTGTTGGTTATTATAATGAAATTTTGTATGTAAGTAAAAGTAGTTTTCTTATAAATATTGCCATCATGTTAAAGCATCTGAAATATTTTAATACCTTTATTATCTATATATAGACTTGTTTCTCATTTTAAATCAATGTTTAAAACTGGATACAAATTTGTAATTCGAATACACTTAATATTTTTATGAATATAGCTTAAGTGTTATATAGAAATATGTTAGTTAATATTAATATACTAAGAGATCAAAATCTCTAATTCTGTCAACTAATAGAGATTAATGTGTGTTTTTCTGATTATGTGTGCTATTAAAATTGTGTGAAACTATAATGTACTACTAATGGCTTTTACTTAAGTTCAGTAAAAAGATCTAAATATAATTCTTTAAACCACAATTCTTTATAAATTGCGTTAACTTTACAACCAATATTGGAGAATTTGTTGGAATTTATTTCTAATGCTCCTGATAATTTAATCTTTTTCTATAACTAATAAATATTTATTTGTATATTTTTGTGTTTCAATATATTTGTTCTTAAAAATTATATTAAAGCATTAAAATTGACATGTTTAGTTGGTAAATTTATTAATGACACATGAAATGATCTATTTAAGACAAAATTCTATTTAATACAAAACCTTGTGTTTCAAGGTTTGCATTATAAAGATCTTGTACTATACAATGATATCTTTAATTCAAATTTATTACTATAAATATATTACAAACACTATTTTTTATTAATAAATTAAAATTGATAGTGATCACCAGATTTGAAAACATTCAATTTAAGTGTAACAGTTAAAGTGTTATATAATGTGAGTTATGATCATGATTATGATTCTGCTACAAATCCATTATTTATGATTTTTTGAAATATTTTCAATTAACTTCCAAATTTTCTTAAAATTAAAATGAAGTTGTAATTTTTTTAAAGGGATTTGTTTATTCTTGATAAAATTACTTTTGATTTACAAAAAGTTTATTTATTTTTTAGGTACAATATGTGTGATATTTTCTTTTCCTTTCTTATTTATGGATTGCATAAGTTGTTCCAATTCATTCGAATATGCCAAGTTTATTTATTATGGAGCTTTCATAATTATTTTTCAATTTGGATGGGCCTCAACCCAAATATCTCACTTATCTCTCATTCCTGATCTAACACCACTCTCATGTGAAAGAGTTGAGCTTAATTCCTATAGGTAAGTTTTACTCCAACTTAATTTTAAAAAAATTTTCCTCACTGAAATTTTAAAATCTATTTTTATTTTGATGCAAGGATTTGTTTTTTATGCACTATCTTATAACTTTATTTGCAATCTTGTTATCTGCGATCATTCGATCATTTATTATTATTTATTATGGAGCTTTCATAATTATTTTCCAATTCCGATGGACCTCAGTCCAGATATCTCACTTGTATCTCATTCCTGATCTAACACCACTCTCATGTGAATGACGGGCCTCAGTCCAGATAATCACGATCTTTTATTATTATTTATTATGGAGCTTTCATAATTATTTTTCAATTCGGATGGGCCTCAGTCCAGATATCTCACTTTTCTGTCATTCCTGATCTAAAATCTATTTTTATTTTAATGCAAAGATTGGTTTTATGTGCATTATTTTCTTATAACTTTAACTTTATTTACAATCTTGCAATTCACGATCGCAACGCTTGAATATGCCACTCCATGTTTTGACTCTCCTTCTCAGTTATATGGATATGTACTACAATATTTTACCCTTCGATAATACTTTTCCTGTTCAATTGTCAAAAATATTTCTTAAAATTTCCACAATGTATTCTTTTATAACTGTGGCTAATGCAGTTTTTAGTTCCATACAGTTTCCTTACATAAAAGCTTTTTATCGATTTCAAAATCAAGACTATACTGTACTTCCTTCTCTTATGACACTTGAGATTAGGTTTACCTGAATCTGAGTCAAACATCAAAATTGTCAGAATAACTTTTTTAGCCTGGAATAAGAGGCTTGGTTATCCTGAGAATATCTAGAACAGTGGTTTCCAACTGGCGGCCCGCGAAGCCTTTTTTTTTTTTTGTGGCCCACAAACTAAAATATATTAGTTGTCATTTTTTTGCGGACAATTTTCGTAAAAAATCTGTATGAGTTTAAAATTCTTTGCTTACTAATAAGAACCTAATCTCTTAGTTTTTGTGTAATTTAACATACCAACGATACAAAAAAAAAATTCTCAGGTTTTGCATCCATGAAAATATTTATTCAAGTACAAAAATAATCGTGTATGTTGCTCTTTTTTATTTCATTTTTTGTATTTCGTGAATATAATTTATCATGTGTGTATCAGAAATTTACTCAAAGAAATTCTCCGATTTTGCTTTTTGAAACCACTCATTTTGGACGAAAATATTTACACACACTTTTGTAAATTTAAAATGTAAATATCTATTGTCTGGTGGTTGCAGCAGACAAACTGCAATTTTCTCATTGAACATTTTGTGTGCTACTATATAAGTTTTAATACCAACCTTTTTAAAGTGTTAGATATCTGTTGCACACTAATTGTTTAATACATAGGTGCACATTAAAGTTATTGTAGCCTGATTTTTTTAATATGCAATTAAATATTTTTAAAAATCCTCTTCTTATTTTAATTTGTATTTCAATACTTTTGTTTTGTACAACTTGGTAAAAATCTGACAGTAATATTTAATGTTCCTTCAAACATAAAAGAGTATTACGTAAAATTATGATAAAGTTGCGGCCCACCATTTGATTTGTGTCTTTAATTGTGAACCCCGGTCTCATGTAAGTTGGAAACCCCTGATCTAGAATCATGGAAACTACCTTCTGGTATCGTGCCTTTTCTTGTTCCGTGACAAACACCCTTGGGCACCCTGTGACCAAGGGTCCAAAAAAATTATATCTGGCATCCAATATTTTATTATAGACTTATTGTGTTAGGATAAACTGGAGTGCTAATTGTTAATAAAGTTATTTTGGTTAAGCATAATAAATTAGTAATTAATTTTTATTATTAAGTATGATTTTTTTAAATTTTATTCAGAGTTTTAAGTACTAAAAACACTTGTTATAATATAATTAAATTAATTTTATTTTGCTCTATTTGTTTTACTCAGCAAAACTTCATCCCTATGTAAGTGTTTGTATTGTTTAAGATATATATTTCAATAATATAAATTTGTTCTTTTTAGATATGCCATGACAGTCGCGTCTAATATTTGTGTATATACAACATTATTAATTGTCTTAGGTGTAGCTAGTGGAGAAGATTCCCATATTGGACCTACAGATCTGCACATATTTAGAGTAATTATTTTAAATTATGTTTATATAACTGTTTTAGAGCTTCTTTATACTCTTGTAATATTACTTTATCTTTATTGTTAGTTGTTTTGAAAAGTATATTGGAAATAATTATAAGAAGGTAAGAAAAGTTATATTCAGCCTACACAATTTTTTTTCCTTTTAGTTGCAATAACCTTTAAAGTGCATGTTAGAAAATCACTAGAAAGGCATATTATAAATTTGAGATTCGCTGTTTTAACCGTAGATCTTGTATGTGAAATAGTCTTCCAACCTTTTGATAGTTTTTAGCAAAGTCTGAGTGTTGTAACATCCTCAAAGTTAGCAAATACTACACTTAATCTGTTATCTATATTTTAATAAAAAGTTGGTATTTTCCTTAAACCATGCTGGTTTGTTTGATTACATAAAGAAATAATAAAAATAAACACATTTCAATTTGTAATCTATGAGTCAAATGTTCTTAGGTTTAATCATTTACTTTCTCAAGTTTCACTACTTTAAAAGTTAAAAAAAGCTATTCAGTTACAGAATTATATATTTTATTCAATATTATATTTTGCTATAATTTATTTGAATCATTTCTATTCATCATTTTTAAGAGTCTTTATTTTGTTTTACAGCATAATTCAACTCTTTCTCTCTCTCTGATTTAAATTTTAAAATATATTAATTTATGAAAGATACAAAGATACAGAAATGGATATGCAATAGTTTCAGCTCTATGCACAAGAAGTGTCTATAGAACCTCAGTGTCTATTTCAAGCATTGAGATAGGTTTTTGTTTATAGAACCGAAACTATAGTATGACTATTTCTGTACCAGTATTTGTACATTTATTTGTATTTTTCTTTTTGTTTTCCCTTATTCATATGTAGCAGAAGGTATACCCTATGCTCTCATTTGGATATACTGTTAAATTAGTTTTTTTATTACATAAAGAAAAGTTGTTTCTCTTATTTTGCCCCAGACCAATTATTTTTTTTTCTTTTTTGAAACTGACTGTTATCATCCACCGGGGCGATACTTAAAAGGCTATCAAAATTTTTCACATATCCTAGAAACTATTTGAGTAACAAGGTATCCACTCTATTCTCAGCAAGCAGTGTAAGCCTAGGTCGGGATATCCTGGTTGGTCTGGCACTGGTCCTATCTCCAAGTGTCCGTGGGTTCGTTCCCTGTTGGTCGAAGACTCCCTGTGTAGTAAATGGTGACTGATGCACGTTATATCTGTCGAATCTCAAAGTCCTCCATGTTTCCATAACAAATCAACACCTCTGGGAATACTGATTCAGGAGTTTCCTTGTCTTCTGTATTGGTTCAAAATTACAAGGCTACGGAGTTGAATATTAGTAGTCGTAAACCCAAAACTGGGTCGGCTGTTCAATGACGGATATAAAGAAAAAAAATAAACAGCGTAAGCCTAGTTTTCACAGTTAATTTAAAAATACCACTGGGAAACATGAAATTCTAGGCTTTCTCTTCCGAATCTACTTTGGAATATCTTTGAGTATTATCAAAGTGATCAATACAACTTTTCTGCTGGCGTGTGTCAATTTATGATTTGCCATTAAAATTGTTTTATATAATTAACTCTGTCTGATTAAATCTTATCCTATAGTAACTTGCCAAAGCTAATTTAGAGAATAGTTCTTGTTAGTTCTTTTATTATTCCCACATTTTTTAGAAAAGCATTTCTTTGATTTTTTACTATAATATTTAAATTATAAGCATTTATGAATTCAATACTCATATCTAAACTTGTAATAAAAGTAATAATTTTTGAATTGAAATAATGAGTAGTTTTAGATAATAATACTAAAATTTTATTTTATGAAAGATTTCTGAATTTGTATATGAATTCTTAATATATATAATTATTGTAGCAATATATTAAATGTGTATGATAAATAAATTTTTAAATTATTTCTAAAATTACACTAATTTAAAGCGTGTAAGTCTGAAAATTTTAACCTTATTCTACAACTTCAACCTTCAAACCTTAATTCTACAAATCTTGGAGAATTAAGGTTTCTCTCGAGAGAAGCTACCCTGAACTAATAAATGTTTCTTTAAGAAAAAGGTAAATAAAAAATGTCCCTCATTCATGAATTTGATAGAATATGGTTTGAAGTGGTAAAAGACACAGACTAAAAATTTTTAGTTTTCTAACTAAATGACTTATAATTAAACCTTTAAAGCAATGTAATAAATAAGATTTGCTTAATGTAGTTAGATAACTTAAAATTATTCTATATATTTTTATCACATATAAAGTGAAGGATTTANTGTTGTGCATCTTATATATATATATATTGCCTGTTCACTTATTAAAATGTTGCCTGTTAATAGATCGCAGTACATCATTAAATCATGCATGATGCATTTGCAATTGACTCAGATTAACATGTTTTAGAATGTTGCACTTGCAATGGTCGGTGTTGGTACTGTCTTCTCATTGATCTTCCATCTTTTTGTAAAAGAAGAGGATCATCCTCATTTTGCCATTGAACAGCAGTGCGTAATCAATGAAGCTAGCAATATGATTGAAAAGCCACATTTAACTTGGAGTGATTGGTTTTTTCAACCACAATTTTACATGGTAATTATTTTTGTCAATGTTTGCAAATAAATAGTAATATTATATTTCTCAAAGTTTTTTATTAATATGAAATTTGTACAGAAATCATGCTGTTAACTGTGTTGTTTGCATTAAGTGTTTTAATTTTTCGAAAGTTAAAATAAGATTACACACAAAACAAAATCTGTAAAAATTTTACACACACACATCATCATCATAGTTGGCCAGACAGCCCAATGTAATCTAATGCCTTCCTTTGACGATTTCTTCATGGCGACTTCCGATTTCACACACACAATTCTATGGAATTTTTTATACAGTGAACTTACAATTGAAGAGCTGAGTTGATGGTAATTTGACATTTTAAAGAATTTGAATAAATTTGCTTCTAAATTTTTACAATAGGAAGTAAGGATTATTCCTTGTCTGCTGGCTTCCAGTTTGCAAAACTGTATAAATTCATAATACTCCTTTTAAATGTACTTGATTAAAAAACTTCATTTGATTTATTTAAGTATATTTTTCTACCTCAGTTTCTTAAGATTATTTTTCTAATTCTTTTAATTGTTTGCATCATATCATTTTCAATCTTGGCATTTTAATTTGCTTCCAAATGAGAGACTTTCTTACATTACCGAGACTATTTGTTTCCAAATCCACTTTGTATTTTCTTCCACTTCAAAAATACTCAAAACTCATTTAATAATTTCTTCCTCTAAAATTTGTAAAATTTAAATACCTGGCATGTTGCATATAATGTTGTATAGCTTAAAACATAAATAAAATATTTCCCTGAGAAAACTTTTTTTCTTTGTCATTTAGCATCTTGTTCTGCTCAACTCTTTAATTATCAGTGTTTTTTTTTTTATCCTGGATCTTTTTTGAAATAGATTGATTGTAATAATAAAAAAGACCTTAATACTCTAAAGATCAAGAGACTACTTCTCAGGGCTTGGGAGCCAATGCAAAAAAAAAAAAAAAATTTTTTTTTTTCTTTTTAAGTCTCATAGAAAAGCAAAGTTTTCAATTTTTTATATTACTATTAAAAAGGATCTAGGTTTTGTTTTTAATTTTTGAATTAGGTAAATAGTAATTATCTGAAATGGCCATGCACTGGATTATTCATATGGTTTTTAGATTTGCATTAACCTAATTTCATTTATATTTATTCCTTTAATAAAAATCAATAAAGTCAATTTACTTGAGTGTAAATATTCAGAAATTTTAGTAGTTACAAATTTGTGTTGTCTTCTTTTATATTTTTATTAAATTATGCACTTAATGTTTAATAGTTGGATTTTTTTTTTTAAAAAAAAGAGTTGATGATTTAGTTGTTGAGCCTACCAATTTTACTTCATTATAAATATTTTTTTTAAAAAATTTATTTCTAAATCTATGTCTTTATTAATATTTTTTTAGCATTTTATGGGATGATTTCAAAAAAAAAAAAAACAACTTTTCCTATATCCAGTTTTCTATGGCAGAATTTTTTTTTATCTTTCTGCAACAAATCTCCTTAAGCACAAATATATTTTTGCAAAATATTTTTAACAGTAGTAAATATATCGGTTACCAATTTATAATAAATTAAACACTTCTTTAAGTTTTTGAAAAAGGTCTTGATATATAGAATAAAACTTAACATAAAATTTTTTAGTTGTAAATGTAATTTTTTTCCTCAACACAACAAAAATAGTTTATTGTAGTATTATCAAAACAATTCTGTTGAGAAAAAAAAAGTTCTGCAGAAAACCTGTTTTGGAGATCCATACCAAAATTTTGCAGAGCCAAGCAAAAAGAAAATGTTTGTTTTGTAATGGAGAATCTTTCTGCAAAAACTCGCAAATGTTCGGTGGCAGGCAATGTTATGGTCGCCACGATTCTGCAGTGGAGATTAGTTTTTGTACCCTACCTATTTTAGAAATTCTAATGCTTACAAATCTTTGTTTTATTTAACATTTTATATCATTTAAACTTTTCATTTATTATTTGATAGGTTGCAATTCTGTATACTTCTACGAGACTGTTTTTTAATATATCACAAGTTTATATGCCAATGTATATTCAGGATACACTTAAGTTACATAAGGTAATTGATATATGTTTCTTCTTTTTTTATTTTGTAATATTACACTTTATAAATGCTCATCTTTAATTTTTATTTAAATTTTCAGAGTAAAATAGCCATTATTCCCCTTGTGATATTTTTAAGTGGATTTCTATCATCATTTATAGTGAAATTTATTAATCGTCATTTTGGTAGCAAAGTAAGTGTTTATCAAGTATAAAATATAATTGAATTTCTTTGTGATGTAGTTGTTTTAGTTTTATCTTTTGGATTAAATTTACTTGTGGTTTTTGTTTTTAAATTCTTTCTTTTTTTCCAGTTATTTATTTATTTATTTTTTTTGTCAAATACTACAGACAAGTGTATGTTTAGTTTAATACATAAATATTTTTAACTTACCAATTTTTTTTGAACAAAGTGTTTATTGCAAATCAAGTAGTTTCACTGATGTATTTTTTAATGTTTAACATTTCAAAATATCGGTTGCTATGACAATTTTCAGTATTTATTCTTAGTTCTCTGTAAAAATAGAAAGAAACATACAAATGTAATAAGTAATATTTACTCAACTACTAGGCAAGAAAAAAAGTTAAAATTTTAAATCTTTTTTTCTTTTATTTTTGAGCAATTCTTTGCACTTAGTTTAATGGGGAAAATGTAATATTTAAAAAAATGTTTAAATTTTTTAATATTTAATTTAATTAATTTAGTTTGAAAAACCAGGAGTGAATTTTATAGGTATAATTTTTTTATTTAATAATTTTCTATTTTTTTTCCTCCTTCTAGATTACTTACCTAATAGGTTGCATCTTAGGCCTTGGGGCTTGTGTTTGGATTCATTTTGGTGAAGGAGAGACTTACTGTCAATATGAATTATATGGTGTTGCAGTTCTTATTGGAGTAGCTGGATCTACTCTTTTAATTATGTCCCTTGGCATCACATCAGATCTTATTGCAAATAGCACAGTAAGTTATTTATTTTCATAATCAAATGAATTTCAAAAATGCAAATGTTGAACAGATTTTTTCTTTTCAATTGTATCTTTTTTTTAAAAAACAAAACTGTAGTCATGTAGCAATCATTAATATTTTATTGTTTTTGCCTTTGCTTTAAACCTATATTTTCTGTATGTATATATATATATATATATATATATATATATATATTCATCATTTATTTATTTGTACTTTAAAAAATAGAGATGTAAGTTAAGTATTCAAGGTTTCTGAAGTTAAGTCATTCAATCTGTGTACTAACACTTTTCTCATTATAATTTATCAAGATGTTTACAAATAGCAATAATGTTGTGCATGTGTCTAATATACCAACAGTATTTATTGATACATGCTAGTAATACCTTAATTAATTATGCAGTGGTTTTGGAAATTTTTTACTAATCAAATATTTTTGAGAAATCTTTCCTGAAACATTTATAAAAATTTTGCAAAACTTGAACTTATGTTAACTTGAAAATTTAATTCCCTCCTAACAAAAATTTTCAAGTATCTTTAAAATCTAATCATGACTGATTAAGAAAACATAAAAATGATTTTTTTTCCCATTATATCATGCTATGGTAAAATTGAAATAAATAAAAAATTCATTGTATGTTTATTAAAAATATGTTTCATTTTATTGATCAGATTACTGACTTAAATTATCTGTTGTGCATCTTATTAACATTGCAGTGCCGTAATTGTCAATATTATAATATCTTTTGGAGTTGTTTTTGAAATATTCTAGACAAAATACTAATAGCATTTGCTATATTTTTTGTAAGATTTTGTCTAGACCTCAAATGAACTAAAGATTGGACAAAATTTACCCTCAAATGATCAAGACTGCATTGTATTGTATCCTACTAAAATTATCTAATACATTGATTATTTTTGGATTGAAAAAAAATACTTCTCAAAAAGCTCTAATTTCACAAATATATTGAAACCAATCACTATCACAGAGTTTGTGCTCCCTCTTCCTAGCTGCCTACTGATGCATATTGTTAATAATAATAATTAAAAAAAATAACTGCTAGTGCAACTATCTTAGATTCTTAACATTAAATCATAATATTTAGAGAACCCCCAAGCATAAGGAAAAACTTAAAGCTGTCAATCGGAAATTAAAATTAGTTTTTAAAGCAAGTTGACACGCCAGCTATCTTTTCGTATCTATTCTTGTGTTTATTAATATTTACAGAATCTAGTGTTGCCACCATATTTTTTTTGTTATTTCTACTTGACTTAAAAAATATCTTATGACCAAAAATTTGACAATAAATATATTTTGTTGGGAGAAGAACAGAGATAAATAATTATTTTGATGAAAGTTTCTCATTAAAAATCATTTTTCTAGTATGTGGTACATTTGCATATTTTTAAAAAGCAAGAATAACAAAGAGCCAAGACATTTATGTAAGATTACAGTGTTACCAACTTATGTAGAAAATTAAGAAAGTGCCAAGTTAGACAAATCTTCATGTTTAAAACTATATATCATTCTAAAGTTTACAAGCTATATATCTTTATTGATAAACATTAGAACAAATTACAGTAATTTCACATTCACTAACACTTTGACTACTCTTTCAAAAGAATAATGAAACTTGGTCATCATAATTTCTATTACAATATAGTTATAGCACATAACAGATGATACTAATGTATAATATTTTATTGCTGCAAATTATAAAACACTATGCATAACTCAAAAAAAATTTTTTAAGATCTTTTTTTCCTTGAAGATATATTGGCTCTAAGAGTAGTTAATTTACTAGTGGATATTTATTTTTCTTTAAAGTTATATTAAGTCTTTATGAAGAAATCCTTGAAACATGAGGTTTTACTTTATGTAGAACATTCACATATCATTAAGCATTTCATCGAACATTTCACACATCATTAAACTTACCACTAAATGTAACAATATAAATCTGTAGCAGATCAGTATTAATGCTTAAAAATATTATAAAACACAAAAATTGTTTGTTATTCACAAAATTAAAACAAAATGATATTATCTGGAGCATTGGAAATAAATCCAACAAGTTTATCAATTTCGGTTTGCTTTAATGATTTTAAAGTTTTTGACGTGTATGGAGAAATGCGATATATAAAATTGCGTTATTGCAGAGGTATACATGATATGTACAAATGTTTTGTGGAAAATCTGTCACCCTTATAGAAATTTCTTTAATATTACTGATTATTATACAGTGTAACTTTTGGTTACTATGATATATCCATTGCATGCAATATATAATAAAAAAAATATGCATTATAAATAAACGGTCAAAAATTCCATATTCTACCCCTTAGTTAAGTTTAGAAAAAACCTGTACAGTAACAGAAAATCTAGTTAGTTAATAGCTAGTTATATCTTCAAAAAACTGCCAAGTTTAAAGAAAATGTGCTGGTATGTATACCAATCGATGTAGATTTTAAAAAAAATTAAAACACTAGAAAAAATTTGTTTGTTTTTTTTTAACGAATTTCCTTAGAATAAGGTAGCAGCAAAAGGGTTGAAATTAGATACAAATTTGATAAATTGCTTGAAGAGAAAATTTTTAATTAAGATTTTGCGTTTGCTAAAAGCTTTTCATTTTATCTAAGCCTGGTGTTATATATATATGTTATACTGTATTTGTTGTAATTTGTATTGTTGATTTTTATTTTATCCTAATTGCTTAATTTTTGTTTCTAGACGAGTGGTGCTTTTGTATTTGGATGCATGAGCTTCCTTGATAAGTTGTCAAATGGTGTTGCTGTAGAACTTATTCAGGTTTTTCATCCATGTTTGTGAGTAATTTCCTTCTTTTTAAACTTCTTATGAATTCAAATAGTATTTTTGAAAGAAAAAAATTTTTATTACAGATTTTGTTTATTGTTACGCTGATAACTGTTAGCCATTGTAGATTATGATTGATTGATATTGATCACATGGTGTTTTTCATTTTACTTATGGGATGCTTCTAAGTATTCAAAATTCTTGAATTAGTTCCAAATTGCATTTTTGCTGACAAATGACAGAGATATTCTTAATTTTGGTTCACTAGCTAATATCTATCTACCAATGTAACATTTAAGTTTATGCTTTTTTTATTTTCATTTTAACATCAATGTTTTAAAATTAAAAAAATTTACTTTGAACAAAAGATGTCTCTTTAATATACCTGCCAAGTCTCCTGTTATTTAATGAAGACTCCTGTATTTTATGACTATCTCCTGTTTATCTGTATATTCTCAAATTTCTCTGTATTTGAAGAAATTTAAAAAAAAAAAAAATTTGGGTGTTAAAATAACCGCTGATGGCAAAAATACTTTTATTCCTCAATAAATTGTGCCTCAACAGATAGTGCACTGTGGTATATTGAGTGTTAATAGTTAAAGTAATTATAGATAATGGTTCAAAAAAATCTCTTTTAGATTAATATTTAATATTTTTTACTTCACTAAATGTAAGTGCTTATATTATTTCCAGTTTTGAATTTCTTTTTTTGACTTACCTAATTATATATGATGTATCAAAGCTTTATTCGTAGCCTGAAAAATGTCGCTAGTAAAATCTCCGTTATTTTATTTCATTAATGTTGGCAGATATGCTTTAATACTTTAGCTCAATTTCATAACTTAAGGTTTGAATAAGCATCCAAAAAGAGTGGCGGAAGATTTTCCTGAATTAATAGTTAGTCTTGGTACCTATCTATACATATTTTCCAAATTTATGTAGCCCTTAAAAAATTTAAAAAGTCATCATCAAATTAATTATTTTTTTCTTATCAGTTTCAGGATAAAATAAAAATATGATTTCCCTAATATATCTATGATTTAAGAATGTGTTACATTTCATTTTACTTAAGGAATATTTCTGGTAATGGGTTATGATTTTGTTATTTTGAACTTGGTTGTCTTTGAATTTCTTATATTTGTTTTACAAATATGCCTTAAATCTGTGCTCTCAAAAAGATTGAAAAAAAATTAGCCATTCCAAGCATGTTAGACAGTCTTTATCTGTATTCAAGAATTATTATTTTTTTTTTTTTAGAACATGTTGTACTAGTTGCAGATGGTATTACAGATATATACTCGAGTTTGCTTGTGGAGGTGCAATACTTCTTGGATTGATTTCCCTAGCTTGTCTTGCTACGCAATCTATAGGAGAAAGAAGGAATGAAGGTAACTTTACACTGCTTTCATTGTTGATATTATTCTCCTCTAGTGTTTATCTTTTCAGATGAGTATAGTTACATGATTCCTTTTTTTTTATTTTCTTCTCTTTTTGTTTTCCAAAGCCATTTTTTCTTACCCTGAATAAATAATATCTAGTGTTATTTTTTTTATCTTGAATTTGGTGCTGGTTCACCACATCCAACTCTTGTTCTGACAACATTTGCCACTCAGCCAATTCTATATTAAAAAAAGTTGTAACGTTATTATAATATTCTTTTTGCAACTTGTATTTTCATTTAAAAATATTTAATAATGCCATGTCTATGTCTTGAAATCATTGTAAAAACAGACACATAAATTGATTATATCAATTGCTGTTGAACTTCTATTAAATGAAACTATTTTCAGGATTTCTTTTTAAAATAACTTCTAAAAAATGAGGTAAATTCTTTGTTTAACAAACTTTCCTTGTGATCCGATTCCCCCCCCCCCTTTTTCTTAAAACGTTTCTGAGCATTCCAAATTTATTCTTTCTTTTAAATCGTTTTATATTGAACATTGACTTTGAATTGGTTTTACCGGTTGCTTAACTCAATGAGAGCAATAAAATCTATCACTCTTTGTTTTTTTTATCGAGGAAGTGCAAACTTTTTACTGCTTTCTAGAAGCTTTTTGATGATTATGATATATAAAATTAATGAATACCAATTTACAAATTAAAGGTGCAATCAATTTTTAATTATATCTAGTGTTTGTGAATTTGAAATTGGTTTTGTGTTGTTTATAGTGTTTTAAGAAGTGAATTTCTGAACTTTTTTTCAAGATTTAATTTACTTCATAAAACTAGAGATAATAATTTGTAGTAATAAGTAATAACAACTATTTATGCTAAAAGATTTTATCTTTTCAGAACAACTGCATAGGAACTCAATTATTCGACATAACAGAAGAGTCGCCAGTATGACTTCTGCTAAGGAAAGAAGCTTTGAGGAACGAAGATCATTACTCGATGATGAATCGGATTCTGTCACTACGTGATCTTTTGTTATTTAATTAATAGTTTGTTATTTATTTTTTTAAAGAGTTTGAGTAGTTATGGGCATTAAAAGATGAGACTTTTAAAGTTTGAGTACGAAGGAGTGTTGCACAGGGTGATTGAAACTTTTTATACTTCATGTTTCTTTGTACTCATGTTTGTTTGTAGGAGATGTGATGCTTTTTATATTCTGAGAACACTTTATATCTTGTTGGAAATATTGAATGCCTTTAAAAGAGTCCAATTTTAAAGTGATGCTAGTGAAAAACTGTCTAAAGAGTTCAAATTTACAACATGTATAGTTTTAGATAGCATATTATTATTTTTAATTTCATAAAATTGATCTTAAAAAAGGTAAACCAAAAAAATTTTTTTTATAGAAGTGTTTATAACTGCAAAGAAAATAGCGTAAATGTATATAATTTATTTTACATTTATTTAAGTATTATTTGTTTTTATGGTTTACTATTTTTCTGAGTAAAAAAGCCTATGATATTTTAAAATTGCAATTCATTTCAGATTTTCCACACATTAATTCTTAAAAAAAAATGGTTTATCTTAATATTCTTTCTAAGATCATTTCCTAAACATATCTGATGCACAGGGAAAACCTTTTTTTAACTTGTGTGCTTCCCCACAAAGGAAACTTGTTTCAATGTCATTATCCCTCCAAGTATTGAGATCCAGGACAAAATTGTACTGAAAATTCCCTGTTAACTTCCCATTGAATAACATTGGGAAAGCTGGTTTTTTAAGTACATAAAAGCAACCAGCTGAAAGTTCGGAAAAAAACTGGAACTATTACTCATATGGTTCTGCTTAAAAACAGTATTTAAAGAAGAAACTGTCAAGCTGAAAGGGGCTGATGTTAATTTGATACAAATTACTGTAGGAAAAAAAAAAAAGAATTAGTATGTATTTGTTCGAGTTTTCATGGATTTTTTTTTTAAATTAAATGTAAAAAGGACTTTTTTCTTGTTAACATATTCACTTATAGAGAATTTTTTCTGTGATTACTTTATGAAAAACTCAGTTTTGTGCTTATTTTAATTATAACTAACAGAATATTACAGTTAAACTTCTATAACCTGAACATCTATGACTTGAGTTTTCTGTATCTAAAGACAATTCATAAAATCCTTTCTGGATGTATTGCTTTCATCACTAAATATTTGTCTATTGCAACAAGTCAATTTAATGTTTATCTGAAGAAATATGTAAAATAAACATGTATAAAACACTAGTTGGATCTATTCTGCTTTGTGGGGGTGACTGCTGAGCAACTATCAAGTTACATGAAAATAAATTATTGACCTTTGATTGAAAAATCATTAGAAAAATATTTGGTGCAGTCCATAAAAATAATAGCTGAAGATCCTTTTTTAACTTTGAAATTTACAAAAATACAAGCTACCTGATGCTGTTAAAGTCATAAAATCCAATAAATTAAGGTGGACAGACATTTATTCCAATCTTATAATACAAACTTTGAGAAAAAAGCTCACTTTTTCTATTCTTTTGCAAAGCAAAACGGAACCACCAATTAGGTTGCTTGAATCGATGGAGAAGGACTTCCATATAGTAGCTAAGGACTGGAAGAGCCTTGCTGGGAATATAACCAGATGGCAAAAATTGTTTGGGTTGGCCTTGGCCTGTAACAGACTGTAGTGCCTTGAAAGAAGTAATTTTTGTCTGCCTAGCTTAAAATCTGATTTATAAGTAACTTTGATAAAAAATAATGAAAAAATGAAAAGCTCTTGAAAAATTTAGGCAATACTAAAATTGTATTAGCAGAGATTCCAGAAATAGAAACTATTGGATTTTCTTGAGAGACCTATCTTAAATTTCTCTCTCTTTCTCTTTCAGTTCTTACAACAGCTTTTGAGTTAAGTAAAGTTAGAGGTAAAATTCACTTTGAAAAAAGAAAAAGATTTCACTTACATTTGTGTACCTTAGTCATTGTGTGCATGCATCCTCTGTGTAAAATTATGTTGATATCTTTTGGATACCAGCTTAATGTTAATCTTTTGAAATATTCTTTTATTAATGAAAATTGCTTTAAGAAGCTCTCTTAAATGCATTCAATTATAGTTTTAACAAAGAAATGTGATACATTTTATTTATTATGAATTTTTATAAATTTTCTGTGTTTAAAAAAATTTCTATATTTTATTAGTTGTTAACATTCCACTTTTGTTTTTATATTTCATACATGGTGTTGATGTAAATTTAAAATAATTTATTTTTAAATATTCTACCCTTTAAAACACTAGTCGAAGATGGCATATTTTTTATTGTTTAAAATATGTAAAATTTATTATTTAAAATATCTTTTAGTTAAAGTGTTTTATTTAAAAATTTAATCAGTGAGTAAAAAGGGGAAATAGTCTGAATTTTTTTTAATTCAGTCTTAAAGCATGTTTCTTAAATTTCTTGTCCAGATTTTCACTGAGCTAAACCCTTACATAAACTATTTTCTGTTGCTGGAATGCACATACTGCTGAAAGCAAGATTGATATATTCTTTATCAAGATTATTAACAAAAGCTACTACAGTTAATAAAAGCTATTGTTTTAAAAGAGAGAAAAGAATATACTAATGTTTGCAGTTTTCAGTGCTAAAAATTCTCAATTTCAAAACAGTATTAAAGTGAAGTAAATTGAAGTTGATCTTATTTACTTTATTTTTTAAATTTCAAACATTCAACTATGGAATGTTTTATTATTTCATACAAGTCGAGGAAATAGCATATGAAGCTCATGTTGATATTTTAGTTCAAACTTTTGTTATGATGCTGCAATTATTTTCAGAATAGAAAATTAAGCACTAATAACTGCTAAAATATTTTGTTTTAGCATGTGTTTCTTTTCTATGAGAACAAAACAGGTGTTTGTCCGTAACTGTTTATACTCAAGTTATTCCTTATCTATCTTTTATTTGTTTTGTTTATCAAGTTTTAAATTTGTGAGAGTTATATTTTTCGTATGAAACTTTTTTTTTCATGTCTTCCTCTGTGTTTTTTATTATCGATATTATTTTTTTTTATTTCCCTAATTCATAATATTTAAACGTTATAAATGCTGCACATGTATATAAAACATTTTCAGCTGAAATGCATTTTGAAGGACTTCTCTATATTTTTAATTATAATTTCAGATTGAGCTTATTAAAAAGATTTAAATTACTAAAAATTTAATTTAAAAATAGAATATTCAAAAATATGAAAAATGTCACTGTTAAGTACTAAAATATTAAGTGCATGTAAAATATCTTATAAAAAGTAAAGCATTCTTGCAACAGCCTATTGTGAGCCAGGAGGCATGGAAGTTAAGGCACCACAATTTCATGATCAACAACATGATTGTTGCAATAACGTTGGCATTGCGCAAAAGCCGCCTTTACTTCCCAGTCAAGGTAATACCCATTGATATGGAGCTGCCACTGAAGATTAAACTTCAGTCTTCCACAATGCCAGTTTAATACCTTTAACCACTGAGCTAATGCAGCTTGTTAATCTAATCATTTTCTAATTTCTAATCATTTTTTTTTCATTTCACTTTCCCCACTCACTGATTAGAATAAAAACTGTGTCTGAAATATATTTATTTAACCTAGTTTGAAATAAAGTTTTTGTAAGTGCTTGCTTTGTTAAGTTTATAAATTAATTAATAATGATTAATTAATTAAAAATCATTTATGATTTAATATAACATTTGTAGTTTTATATATATTTTGTAATATGAGTTTTACAAGAAAAAATATTTAAAAATTTTGATTGTAATGAATTTTCTTTTAAATTTAAATTTATTTTTAGTTTATTTATTTAAGTATCCTTTATAGATTTAAACATCTATAAAGGTCTATTAAAAAAATTAAGCTTTAAAATTTTGTTTTTAAATTCAAAAAAAAAAGTTAACAGATTAAGATGTAGCTATATTAAACTTACTAAAATTTTTGAAATATTAATAAATTTGTTGTTTATATATAATTAATTGTCAAGTGCATACTATAATCTAATTCATTATTTGTCATATCATTTCATATATTTATTTCATACGTTTATAACATTTTAATATCAATGTGTATATGTCATATGTTGAGGTTCTTAAAGTTCCTTTATTTTTAAAACTATGTAATCCTCTTTCTGGGATAATATGTTGCATTTTTTAAAACTTATCTTATTTATAAAAGTGAACATACATATTTTATTGTCGTTTTTAAATCTTTGATTTAAATTTGATTTATATTACAAACTTTTACTGTAAAAAGCTCAAATTTTAATTTTTCTGACAAAAAAAATTATAATTGTTTAGAAAATAGATGGTCTTAAAACTATTTTTTAGTTAGTATAATTAAAATTATGCCAACACAGTAGGGTATAAATACGTCTTCAAAAAACATTAATTTCGTCAAAAAAAAATTCTCTCTAATCTCTTGTAAACCACAACATGAGCATGTTCTCTAAAAGCACATAATTTGGGAAAAGCCTAGAATCTTAAATTTTCCTTACAGTCCCAGAAACAGAATATTTTTTCTCGATTGTGAAATAATTTCTCAATGAACTAAAAAAAGTATTAAATATATTTAGTACAAAAACATGAAAAATCAGACTGAACTTTGATAAAAGTAATTTTTGTTATTATAAAAACATATTTTGTATTTTTATTATTTTGCACATTTTACAGTTTACTATTTAATTCTTATCTTTGAGCTGATATCTATAAATTTTATGTGTAAAATGATTATTGCAATGTTTCTGTCTATTCTTTTCCAGATGTTTAAAATACAAGCACTCAATGTTGTGCATCCATTGTTACATTAAAACATTTTCCTGTTGCCAATCTTCTGTATTAAAATTTGCTGTATTATTTCTGAATGGTAAAATAATATTTTGATTTCTAAATAAATTAAGAATGAAATTAAAGAGAATTCATCGGGAATCGTTTTGTGGCTTACGTATTCATGTGAAAATTACTTTGTGAAATAATGGACTTTTAAATACCAAACCTGAATTTTTAAATTAAAATTATTTTGATAATTTACATTTTTTCTTGCTTTTAAGAAATTTTCTACTTGTCTCAATTTGTATTTTGAAATTTTAATTTTTTTTACATTAAAGAAATATGAACTAAAAATAATGTTTTAAATGAAAATCTGATTTCACAGTGTATATACTCCTAATATGATATTTCATACATATAAGAATATTAGTGTGAAATTTTATTTAAACCATTGCGTGATCTAATTTTTTCTTCTTTTTTTTATTTAGAAAATAATTTCTACATATGTGCAATTTCACTAAAAAAAAAAAATTATATCAAACTATAGGTGGCATGTGATGCACCTATAAAGTATTTTTAAAACTAATTGCATTATACAAAAAAAAATGCATTATGTGATAAATTTTTGTGCATGCAATAAGTTTACTTATACATGTTTCATAATTTGTATTTTAAAGTATGAATTTCAATACGGAGTAATATTGTTTCGAACTGTGGTATTATTTTTATAAACTTATTGTGAAATGTATTAAAATATGTTTAATTAATAAAATATTTATTTTGAAACTTTACCTTAAATTTCAATTCTTGTTTTAAGTTTTAATTCACAAAAAATTAAAATAATTTTTTTTTCTCAACTCAATCATTGTGTATTTTACAAGGTTTTTTTAATCCGTACGTACATGTAATTGCTACATGTTAATTGAATACTTAACACGCAATGTTGCTGAATATGCGATATTGGTAAAAATATGTGAGCAACTGCATTTTTTACATAACTCCATTATAGTCCTTTTATCTAACCCACTATTATCAAAAATATCCAAAATAGAATGTGCTACCACCTGGTTTTAATTTCTAATTCAGTTATTTCTTTTATTTATATCCAGTTCATTAACTAATTTATATCCAATTAATTTATCTCAATTAGTTGATATATATCTAATTTTTGTTACTTTCCTAGCCTAAATATTTATGGAGATATGAACATTTTTTATAAAAAAAAAAAACTACTTTTTTGTCTTATGTTTTTTTTTTCTGCTGTAAAATATTCAATAAAATTGAACAAAATTTTTAGAACAATTTAAAACTAATTGCAAAATTTTTGCTTTAAAATTTGAGAAAAATTCGTTTAAATCTGAGCAAGATATGAGCAATTAAACTAGCTCTTTTATATTGCGTATGCGTGGGAAATAGTAAAAATATTAATTTTTTTAATTTTGTAGTGAATCGTATTTAACAACTAATGAAAAAAGTAATTTAAATATCGCATATTAAGTCCAGTTTGAATATCTTGAAAATTCAAAAAGTTTTAAGCAATTTTTAAAATTGTTTTCATACTTTTTGAAGGAAAACTCAAAATGATTGGGGGTTTTCTACAAATATTATTTTGTATTATAAGACAGAATTCAATAACAAATGATAATACCTTACAATAAATTTCTTGCACCAAACTGTGATTTAATAAGGAAAGAAAAGATGCGAAAAAAGATAATTTTTGGGCGGATGATCCCCTACAATGTCAGGGTCATTTTTAATAAATCTTGTTGCACAAAATGAAATGTGTGGAAAATTCCTCATCCTTCTTAGCATTCTTTTAAAAACTTATTTGGGGGTTGGGGAACAGTTACTGTGTTCTATACAGAAATAATAGTCATACAAATCATCCAATTTCTTTTGTAGTTTTCGGACCTATGTTTTCAAGCCATTCAGTTAGATTTGTATTTTGTCATATGAGAATCGAATTTTCTACAATGTAGCGTAGAATTTTTCTAAATATTAGAAGTTTTTTTTTGCGTAAAAAGATAAACTTGTTTATAAAAGAAATTCAAAATTAAACATATTAAAATATTTTATCTTACATGGTAGAGAATTTCAGTTATCTGAAGTNATATTTCATACATGGTGTTGATGTAAATTTAAAATAATTTATTTTTAAATATTCTACCCTTTAAAACACTAGTCGAAGATGGCATATTTTTTATTGTTTAAAATATGTAAAATTTATTATTTAAAATATCTTTTAGTTAAAGTGTTTTATTTAAAAATTTAATCAGTGAGTAAAAAGGGGAAATAGTCTGAATTTTTTTTAATTCAGTCTTAAAGCATGTTTCTTAAATTTCTTGTCCAGATTTTCACTGAGCTAAACCCTTACATAAACTATTTTCTGTTGCTGGAATGCACATACTGCTGAAAGCAAGATTGATATATTCTTTATCAAGATTATTAACAAAAGCTACTACAGTTAATAAAAGCTATTGTTTTAAAAGAGAGAAAAGAATATA